GTCGCCACTAACTATATGACGTCGAGTATCTATGTAATATTGTAACTATGTTTATGCTTATGTTTGAATAGAGTATTGAACTGTACAGTAGTATTTTCTTGAGAGTTAACCTAGTTTTATCACATCGCGAAGTACACACCTAAAAACCTAAGACCTGCATCGCAGCAAACTAGGAGCCTATAACGGGGCCAATACAGAAACAGCCAGTTCATAACACTTTTATTAAATTATTTTTGATCTGCGTTTAAATTTAGAAACTTACCGTGAAGAAGATACAGAAATTAATGCTTTTTTCATTCACGATGTCGATGGATTTTTTGTCCGATGTAATTTCTGATATCTGGTCCAAGCTAAGTACTTAATCATATGCTATTACAATTCATTTCATCTAGCAAATATAAAGTTGCTGGGAAGAATAAATCAGACAGTAACTATTCTTGCTCTAAAATCGTCTGTGTTCTGCGGTCACAGGTGATCAATGGAAATGAAACAGCGAAAATAGTCGAAAGTCGTACTCGAAAATGCTGTGAAATATTTCCGTTCCAAGACGTTACAAATTTAACTTTTTATTTATGATATTTAAATTATAAATATCATATAAATGTATTTTATGTATAACGATACGTCCAAAGTTAAGCAATATAAACTTAAGAGTAAGAAAATTGAAACCGGAAGTGAACGTCCCGTATTAGCCCATGTTTGAAAAGCAAAAGTAACTCCTGATTTATATCGACAGGACAACGTCATCCGTATTACACATGCTGATTTAGCCGAACTAGGGCTGATTTCTTCATATCATTTCATAATTGTAAATCTAAATGGTTTTGGAATTTACAGTTTATACTTACTATACATTTTGAACCAATGCAGTATTAATCTCTGTAGAATATATAACGCTATAAAACCCACTGAAAAAAAAGATTAATTGTCATGCCACGAATGTTTGGTATTACATTTAATATTGTTACAATTGCAATTGACGAGTATATCTCATTAGATTGTGTTTGTATCATATTCACAACCGGTCTCGCTTCTTTTGTAGTTCGTGCGATTCCCTCAGTTTTGTTTAGCTTTACCATTATATGTCCAGGAGACGCTTTCTCTGTGCACATACCCGGCCTTGCTACTTTTAAATTATCAACAATTTTGTTTCTTCATTTCAATTGTTTCCTCTAAATGTATATAATGAGATATGAACTTTGGAAAACAAATTTTCGTTATATCTAATCTTTTTGCCCTTCATTGACATCAATGTTTCTGGTAAATAAAAGTATTATTGTTGGCTTTTTACAAAGTAATGTTCTCTACAAATGTGCATTGTATATATTTTGAATATTTCCTTTACTATTTAGTCTGTTTTGGGTGGTATCCATTTAACGTGGCTTTGTATTTATACATCCCGTCATTGTGTTATTGTTATATGATAATTTTTTAATATATTTTTGTCTTTCTTTTTTGCTAATACGCTTTGTCTATATGCCTTTTTGTGTTTCTTTGTTAAATTGACGTCGCTTTGTACTTATACATACTGTCATTGTGTTATTGTTTTATGAAAATGTTTGTACTATTTTCGTTCATTTTGATAAAAGCTTTGTCTTTATACCTTTTTGTGTTTCTTTGTTACATATGACGTGGCTCTGTACTTATTCATCCCGTCATTGTGCAATGGTAAATGTTTGTTTACGTATTTGTTGGTTCTTATAGTGATTAAGATAATAACACAATGTTGACTGCTGTACCCCTATTTTTGACATTTTTTTCCTATTATGTCTGTTTGTTTTGTTTACACATCGTTGTCAATATAATGGAATTTTCTGCGACTGTCATATAAGCGAAAGGCTTTGCTTGCTATAAAACCAGATATAATCCATCATTTTCTACATGAAAAATGCTTGTACCCAGTCAGGAATATGACAGTTCTTGTCCTTTCGTTTGATATCTTTAAGCTTTTGATTTTGCCATTTGATTAGAAACTTTCCATTTGGAATTTTCCCCGGAGTTCAGTATTTTTTTTTATTTTACTTTTCATCCATTTTAATATACTTACAAATGTATGATAGTAGTAATATCAAAACAGCTTTTGCTGCTTCGGTACGATATTCATCTGTAATCATAAATCAAACATACAGTTTTCTTATCGTTTCCGATATCTGGCCTTATTATTATATACTTACATACAGATTCACTAGTTGATATTAATATGTATGTTCTCGCGATTGTTATTTTTCAACCTTTTAAATGTGAGATTTAACAAACCTTTGAAAAAATAAAATTCGAGTGTATTAATACTGTGTCAAGAGACAAAATGTCAATTCAATGTTTCAAATAGGCTGTAAATAAATGTAAAGAGAGAGAAGCTTTAGGTAGTCTGTCATTTGACAAGACATACACGAAAGAGACCATTCACTAGTCACTGATACGAGAGTTTTGAAGCTAAACAACATTTGGAAGGTTAAAAATGTATATATAGTTTGAAAAAGTGCATAAACCACACACATCGGGGATAAGGGACTTTCTATTTTGAATTATCCACGGAGTTCAGTATTTTTGTGATTTTACTTTTTACACATCGGGTACAACCTACAATATATTTTGATAAACAGCAATGCAACAAGTCTCATAACATCAATATTGAACTTATCTACTTCACTTATTTTTCTTTTATCCGATTGGTAGCCTATCCCTTTTATATCCGTATTTATGTTCCTGACTATATGAGTATTTGGACCGTATGCGTACTTTTTCAAAATACTCATACGGTCGAACCGTACGCGTACGGTCTGACTAATTTTAAGAAGTTGGTCAAGTTTACTGATTAAATCCGACTATATATTACACGTAACAGATCAAGATTAAATCTCGAATCAATTTTAAAAGTTGAATTGTAAATTAAATAAAAACGCAATATTTCAACTATTTAAAAAAGACAGGTTATTTTAATCTGTTAATCTCCTGTATTTAGCAAGTTACATGGAATTAACTTTCACTCATTGAAATTGAAATAAATTAAGTAAAAAAATAATAAAAACTTGTCGAAAGATTTAAAAAGGTAGAGTTCTTTGTTAATACCAGTTGTTGATAGAATCTTCCCCGGTTGTTATGTAGGGTTTCTGATTTTATTGGTAAAGATGCATGTTTGTGCAAACTGTCATGCAAATTTTGCATAATAAGCATCTAAAGTTCCTTGTGGCAGCAAGTGTCACCCTGGGTAAGTGTGCCAAAATAGGATTAATATAGACAATAAAATAAATACTTAATTTCAATTGATTAAATGTTCACGTATTCACTTTATACATCTTATTGTAATAATATTAATTTGTAAAAGTCAATAAAAGATTTGTTCGACTGAAATTTACCTTAACTGATCCAAATACATTCAGGATCTAGCTCGTACTAGACCGTACGAGTATACTCATACGGTCCGAGCGTACGCGTATAACCGGACCGTACAAGTATACGCGTACGGTTTGGACTGTACTCGTACCGTCAACATATCGGAATATTAAACAGAAGGTATGTTTTCACAGCTAATCATATTGTTGTTGTTTTTGCATATAAGAAAAAAGCAATCTTTAATAAATTATTAGAATATTAGAAATGTTAGAAAATATCAAAATGCCCGTATAAAATTAAGTGACAAATACAGAACTCAGGATATATTTCGAGTAAGCATATTCACCTCTGTTGATATGTGTGAGTGTTTTTTTTTTCAAATTGGAACAAATGGTTTTTAAAGGTATAATGTTTGAGGTAGTAAACACGATAAACACGATAAATGTTTGATATTGTGCTGACTGTCGGCAATATTTCTAATATCCGAACCCACATGGGTTCAACAATGCTATGGTGGTATATGAAGGAATTTATTCATTAAATGCGTACTTTGTTTATTACTTTTCAATGTTGTATAACAAATTATTTTACTCTATACCTAATTTTGAGTAATGAATTAGTGTTAAACAACATTTCAGCACTTTTGTGCTATTTCGTGGCGGTCAGTTTCTATTGGAGTAAAGATTAATTGATTGAATGGTTTGTGTTAATGCCATATTCAGCACTAGTGTGCTATTTCGTGGCTGATAATTTGATTGGTGCCTGGAGAGAACCACCGACTTGGTAGGAAAACTTACAATCCCTCAAAATAACAATTGAATTCAAACGCACCTGCCACGCCGGTTGTTAGAACTCCCAACCTCATTGTTGACAGGCTATTAAAAAGGTGTTCGACTACAAAGACCAATCGTCTAGCGATGCCCCTTTCTTGAAAAAAAATTATGATGAGCAAAATCGACACCAACAATACAATATTTGAGTCTAAGAAATTTTTGGCAAATTGTCTAAAAAACAATATGATAGAGATTCTCGCAAATTAACATTTGTCGCTGTACATCAACATTATAAAATCACATAAGTCCGTTAAGTGTTTAAATGATATTGATATAAACGTGTCATCTCTCATGCATGAGTTTTGTAAAACAAATTGTTTTCTTATAACATGAAAAAACAAATAATCAAATTGCATTTCAACATTATTATTTGTTCATTTTGTTAGGAATTAGACCATTACTATATGGACATGTACAATCCAAAATAATGGAAGATTCAAACATTGCTTTGAATTTGCAACGGATCACACAACCTTTGAAACTTAATGTAATATAATATGTTTTGGTATCTCCTATATAGCAATTAGCCTCTCATAATCATTAATCATTAAAATCCAAAATTTGCAACGATTAATACTATTACCATAAAAATAAATGTATCAATTGCTATGCATGTTAAATATATATGTTTATGTAAAGGTAATTTAAGATGGGAATATTTTTCATTTATGATATCTAACGGAAGATGTTTTTGGCTCTCATTAGAAATAACAATGACCTATACACTTGAAATACACAATAAAACACATTTTGTATTGCCGAAAATATGGTTTTATGTCTGAAAAAATGTTCCAATTCAATATATAGTGTTTCATCCTTTTTACTTACTTGTAGGAGTACGCGCTATGTTATATTTATAATTGTTGAATGGAAAGCTGTTAAATTCCTTTGATGTCTTGATCCTATTAATACAGAATTAAATTAATAGATTTATTATCCTGTAGGGATCAAATCATATATAAGTACATTATTTTTTAAATGTATGGTTGCCAGTAAACTGCAACATGCTTTGGTGTTGCTTTAAACATTCACATAATTAGATTCAAGTAATGCTTATTAGTCTTTTGGAAATGATCCGCTTTTTGCCTACTTGTGTAATTTTTCTTGTTTCTTCAATGAGTGTTTAAATGAACGTGCATAAAAGAGGTGAAAGATACCAATAGGACATTCAATCTCATTAGTTGTTTGTTCAACAAAAAAGATATAATAAATGCATTTTGTAAGTTCAGTCAAACGAATTGATCCACCGAGTATCTATGTAACCATTCAACCTGATAGACCTTACAGCTAGGGATATTCTGCTTGACGCAAATAAGAAAATGTAACTCAACTCTTGCCAACCATTGGGTTGTACTGAAATGTATTGATTATTATTCTACTACATAAATTTAAAGTAACATTAAGTTCACAATTCTGTCTTTGTTTGAAGCCTATCAATCCACTGAATTTTCAAATTGATTTTTCACTTTCAAGTAGCTGAAATCGATTTCATACATTTATAATTCTGATACAATCTTTATGTAACAACTTTTAAAATTGGCTGAAATTTACCATAAAGCTCATAATTGGTATGTCTTTAACCCTCATTTTGAATTGCTACAATTAACAATATGTGAAATTGCATTTGCGACCGTTTAATCGCCAATTGACGGTGGCAACTCTTTAACAACATTATTGTTATTCCTCCAGTATACATATGAGAATGTGTATACATTTTATGTTTGTATAGGACGACACATATTTATGTAAGCGTTTCTTCAGTGCATAGGAGTACAACATGTGAATGAAAATAGATAAAATTATATATACTTGTTATGACAATATTACAAAAAAAGCAATAATAATATATAATAATTGAACAGGAAATTACTTACTTATCTCGATTCAAACGTCTCTGTGTCATATCTTTTCTGTTACGGCATTCAAAATCTGAGATACCAAGTATAGATTATTACATTTTGAGTTATAACAGGCCATTTGATGTCTTAACAAATGATGTTTTAAAGAAAATATTCTATACGCAACTGTATTCCATCTTAATACTAATAAGTATTGGATCAACTAAGGCTTAATTCAAATAAAGCAGACACTCAATTATAAGCAAACATCACGACGTCCATTTTCATACTACCTGTATGTCTTGTGGCATTGAGATAGTTACCTTTCAAAAACTTTCCGGCCATTCAATAAAGCAACTTTTCCGACATTCTTATAAGCAATATCAAGTACCCATCAGGTGTATAAATTTGACGAAATTTTTATTGGCGATTTTAAATTCATTCGCCTGAACAAGCAAAAATTGGAAACCAACGATTATTACCCGCGTTACGTTAATTTCATTCTTTTTCCTTACAGTAATTCTTTTGTTTAGGAAAGAATCATCAGCCATCATACTTTTGGAAACAAAAATGTATATATCTTTAAATTTTTACGCATTGAATTGTTAATAGTTTAATATAAAGTCTTGTTTATACCAGTCCTATGATGTCGCCAATTATTTTCATTAACACAACATTTGTGTTAAGCATATATAAACTGTTGCAATGCACCAAGCAAATATGTATATACCAACGTCTAAAATAATTATCAACACCATACATCAATAAGGAAAGTTAACGCCAAAAACAACGATGTGATTTATGATAAAACAATAAAGAAATACACATATTGCTGACAGCGCCCGACGACAACTGAAATACAGGCTCAAACAGGGTTAATCATGTTTATGGAGATGTTGTTCACCGAAATCGTAAATTTAGGTGCGATCCTGGTAAACTTATCGATCCTTTAATTAAACGTATTTGAAAAGGTTACAAATTCAACACTGTGATGAAACCTTGCAATATTGTATAGATCGGTATAAACATTATTGTAATACAGATATGTATATTCCTGGTCCTACAAGATGTCGATACCTATTTTGGCATTGCATAAGGTCATTCTTCTTTAATTTTGTAAATAACATTTTACACTAGATCCATTTGAGTAGTGTACTGATAAATGTATAATGTATTACCCGATTCCGAATCTGTTCGAATTTTTTTTTCGCCTTATAATTCTACACTCAAGATAAAAGTTTAGTTACATTGTAAAAAACATTTCTTAAAATTGGCTCAACGTCTGTCATATCTAAACTTAATTCCATTTTAGTAAACAAAATACATGTCAAAGCACTGAAAAAAAACCTAGATGTCTTGAGAATTTTAAAATGATCATAATCTCATGCTTTTCATTGTTCATAATAGAGAAAAGAACATTCTAGTCAAGAAACAATAGACTTTATTTTACCTTCCCATCCAATTGAGTTGTTGCTACTTAGATCAATGCTCTTATAGCAGGAACAATCTTCATTTGTCGGACTGCAGTAACATCCGTTTCTTGGTTCCTTAACAAACTTATATCCTTCTCCGGCTCGACAAGTACATGTCCTGTCGGAACTTGTGGGGCCATTTTCAAACGTTGTCTGACCTTCGCTTTCACAAAGTGATTTGCGATAGGCACACTCACTGTAACCAGTTGTGTTCAAATTAAAAGGTTGATATCGTGACGGACTACAATTAGCTCGATTTGGATTTGGTTGAAAGACGTATTTATAACCTAATAAAAAAAACTTATTAGACGCTGATCAAAATGAATACATATTAATACACGTGGTTTTCATCTACATTAGAATAATCGATGAGTACAACTAAAATCTGTTAAAATGACAAATACATTTTGAAGTTTAAAAAAAACATAAGTCAATAAAGGTCTGTTAAATTTGGCAAAAACACTCTGTGACTAAATGCAAAAAATATAAGATGATTGATGGCATTAGATAAAAAAAAATAGTGTATTTGAAAAGAAACGTTTGAACTGACTGATTTAATTTCTTGTGTGTTGCGTGTATTCAGTTACATTTTGTACAGCAAAATATTCATTGGGAACATAGAAAAGACACCAAAGACGAGCTGGTGCACATCTGGTCAGATACCTAGCTTACATGCTACGACCATACTAATCAAATAGAGTACTTGGCATGACTGCATTACTTGGTCTATATTTGAAGGTTTGTTAAAAAGCTTACTGCATGAACACATGCAACGGATGACATACAAGGTCGTATGTTGTTAGATCTATGTAAATGTACCACATTAATGAAAATTGTTCTTTGAGGTTTATGTATGAGGCATTGTTTAATGTTATACCTGGTCCTACAATTCTTGATCTTATACATTTGTCTCTGTATACATGTGAATTGATGTCGAATAGGCAAGCATACTTTCTTTCAAATTCACACTTAGATATGGCTCGAAGTTTCCAGTGTGCCTGGACTGGGCAGGAGAAGTCATAAGCCTCATTTAAAGAAAATACCTTGAATCAAATAGCATACCGTTATATTAGTTAATTTATGTAATAAATGCTACTTATAAAGCACGTTTACACTCTTATATATCTTTTTAAAAACAGTTGCTTTTCACTTCTAATTCACACTTCATTTTGATAAAGAAGAAAAAACTATTTCATAAGTAATTAAATCATAGAATATAATATAAGAAAAAGAAAATTGAAGTCAAATACTTTAATCAAGAAGCAACTTCTAATGCAATTATTGAATTTGAAGGGTCAAATTCCCTAACACTAACGTCCAGATTAAATGACAAGGAGATAAATATTACATCATATAAATATAGATTAAACAAAAAACGAAGCTGACGATGATACAGATATACTTTGTTCTTTCTAAACTTATTCACAAGAAATAGTTATAATTCCAGGATACGTCTTACTTTTTCCAAGGGGCATAACTCATTAAAAATATTTGATCAGCACTTACTTTCCAACGTGTCAAAGAAATTGCTGCTATAAACCTATGATATAAGATTCATTAAATTTTGGCAAGAATTGTTCACATGAGAGCGCTTACAATACAATCAGGATTCCCAAGGGGTAAGTTTTGAAAATATTTGATCGGCACTGATTTTCTATTTTTTCCAAACATTGATAATATAAGCCTATAATATAAATTTCATAAAAATCTGACAAGAACTACACACTTAAGAGCTTGTATAGGGTAATTTTCCATACGATTAATAATTCCAAGGGGCATAACTCTTTTGAAAATAAATGATCGGCACTGATTTTTCGAAATCGTTAAAGACATTGCCTATATAAACATATAATATAAGACTAGTTTAATAAAATTATTGCACATGAAAGTGTTAACAATGCAATTCCAAAGGATATAACTATTTTGAAAATAAGTGATCGGCACTTACTTTGTTCTTTCGAACACGACCAAGACATTGCTTATATAAACCTAAGATATAAGTTTCATCAAAATCTGGCTAGAATTGAATAAATGAGTGTGCTAACGATGCAGTTGTTTGTTTAATTAATGTTACAAAGGGGTATAACTCTATTAAAAATGATTGATCTTCACTGATTGTCGCCCTTATCTAAGGCATTGGTGATATTAACCTATAATCTAAATTTCAATTAAAAAAAAAAGTATAGGTTCTCTCTTATACATTGTTATATGTTAGTATATTTATATCCGTCGTCCGTCAACTTTTTAACATCTTCCCTAGAACTGCACAATAAATTGAAACAAACTTTATCTATTCTATCTTTAAGTTGTCTACTATAAATATTTTCTAATCGTTCATGTTGCTCAAATAACTCAAAAACTAAAATAGAAAGTTTTTCAGTTGTTTAAGGAACCTGGACAGAAATAATGGACGTTATAGTAGAAATAAATTGTACAAAGACAAAACTTTTTTTTTCCTCGAGTTAATAAAATGTGAAGTACAAAATTCTAAACATCACATGTATAGTGATTAAGCTTATAGCACAATGTTGACTGCTGTACCCCAAATTGACATTTTTTTTTATTATGTCTGTTTGTTTTGCTCACACATTGTTGTCAATATGATGTTATTCTATACGACTGTCATACAAATGAGAGGTTTAATACACCATTTTCTGCAAGAGGAAATGTCTGCACCAAGTCAGGAATATGACAATTTTTTTCATTCGTTTGATGTGTTTGAGCTTTAGATTATGCCATTTGATAAAGGACTTTCCGTTTTGAATTTTCCTTGGAGTTCGTTATTTTTGTTATTGTACTTATACAAACATAACAGAGACATAAATATCTTAATAATGTGAATCCTATTGGCAATACTCTTGTCCCAGGAATGAATTACATTTTTAATACAATTGTATTATAAATTCTAATAATCATAGAGATAAAAACAAGAGTGCACACGCTGCAATGTCTCGCCTTCTTTTCTAACCATTAAATTATGTAGATAGTCCTAAATACAAAGATATACTACAACTATCACATAAACTTAACATGATCCAAGAAAATGAGGTCATGGTCAGACAGATAAACAAACTAAAATACATGTACACCTTACAATCATTTAATACACTAAATATAGTTGACCTCTTGCTTATAGTTTCTTAGAAACAGACTTAACAAAGAAACCTAAACTTTGATAATTGATCAATGAAACATGAAAATGAGGTCAATGTCAGATGAACCATGTCAGACAGACATGTACACCTTACAACCAATCTATGAATTAAATATAGTTGACATATTAATTATAGTATTATGAAACAAACTTAACTATGCGAACTTAACATTGACCAAGGAACCACCAAAATGAGTTCAAGGTCAGATGATACCTGCCAGACAGACATATACAGTTTACAATCCTTCCATACAACAAATATATTTGACCTATTGCTTATAGTTTAACAAAAACACAACAACTTAATACTAAATTATGAACCATGAAAACGAGGTCAAGGTCAGGTGATACCTGCCAGATGGACATGTACACCTTACAATTATTTCATTCATCAAATATGGTAAACCTATTGCATAAAGTATAAGAAAACTTACCAAAACACAAAAACTAAACTATAATCACTGAACCATGAAAATGAGGACAAGGTCAGATGACACCTGCTAGTTGACATGTAACCTTACAACCCTTTCACGCACCAAATATACTAGACCTATTGTTTATAGTATCTGATATATGGACTTGACCACGAAACCTTAACCTTGTTCACTGATCCATGAAATGAGTTCGAGGTTAAGTGAAAACTGTATGACGGGCATGAGCACCTTGCAATAACGCACATACCAAATATAATTTTCGTTTCACTCATAATAAGAGAGAAATTAACATCAGAAAAAATCCTAAACTTTTTTTTTCAAGTAGTAACTGAACCATGAAAATGAGGTCAAGGACAATGGACATGTGACAGACGGAAACTTCGTAACATAAGGCATCTATATACAAAGTATGAAACATCCGGGTCTTCGATCTTCTAAAATATAAAGCTTTTAAGAAGTTAGTTAACGCCGCTGACGCCGCCACCGGATCACTATCCTAAGTCGAGCTATGAACCACACTCAAAAGAATTAAAAAGTAAATCATCAATCTAATGCATATAATCAAATATCAAGACGAGTGTTTCTTACATGGAATATATTTTAGATAATTATCATGCTTACCTGAATTATCCAAAAAAAGGTTACACTATTTGTCATCATTAATCAAGAATGGTTTAGCTCTGTATTTATATCTCATCTACATATAAAAAAACGTAAACATTTAGAGTTCGCTTATATTTTTGTATGATGTACTTGGTTATATAAGGGTTATACGGTTTAGCCCAATTTCTTTGGCGTCAGTCTATTGTTCTCACAGTAGATCTTTTTTAAAAATCCATTTTCACCTTAATTAAGCTATGTTCTTACTTTTAACTTTTACCTTTCAAACTGTTCACCTGTCAAAAACGCACAACTCGTTCGATGTTCGAACTTGCGAGGGTTTATTTTCAATGATCACAGTTGTCTTCGACCGTGGATGATACAACTCGACTACGATTGCTGATATACAATTACTAATTATCTATTATTTATATTCTTACAGCAGTTGATTAATTTAGAACCCTTGGCATTACATATGTAACTAGCCATGAGATGTCAAGGCTTATGGAGTTACCTAGGCTAGAACGGGCATACATTTGAAACATAGAATGAAATATGTATTGACGAATTTGTTAAAATAAAGTACTTATTATGTGTATTTTTTTTACAAACATATCAGACAACTTATTTTCTTGGTCTTTTGTTGTTTCTACTTTGGCGTAAAACCAAGATAATTCTTTAAATTGGTGAATTTAACGTCTATCTTTTCGCTTAATTAATAAAAGATCCGAGTTCCAATGTCCCCCGCGTTGTACATATTTTATCTATCCCTTTAAAACTTCTTTAAAACTTTAATAATATCACAGAGAAAAAAAGGCTTCAGAGTAAATGGAATATGATTTCAATCATACGTAATATTTCTAAGGGATATAACTCTTTTAAAAATTATAGATTCGCACTGTATTTCCTATATAGACGTTGCCTATATAAACCTATAATATAAGTTTTATAAAAATCTGGCAGGAATTGAACACACTACAGCGATAGCGGTACAATTGTCCATATAATTATTGTTTCCAAGGGGCATATATAATATAAAAATAATTTATCGGCACTTATTTTCG